CTCCACTACACCCTGTCTCACTTTAACTAGCAAACACATTACTGCTGTATATCAACCCAATTGTTCAGAAAGTATGAGTAACCTCAACACTAACACTAAAACATACCATATTTAAAAGACCAAACTACCTTAGCCAGACATGGTCACACATATCTATAATCCAGCACTCAGGAGCCTGAGACACGAGGATCATCATGAGTTCAATGCCAGTCTGAACTGAGTTACACAGTGAATGAAAGGCCACCCTGAACTCTATAGCAAGACCCTGTCTCAAAGAAAAAAGACAAAACTACCTAACCTCCATATCAAAGGACAGATTTATTCCACTTTACATGCAAATGTGTCACAAAGGATTAACTTCCCCCACAGAAAAAAGTATTAGAAACAATTAAAAGATACCTCAAGTTTTGCAAAAAACCTAACAAAGAAGTTGGAATACTGTTAAAACTAGATATGAGAATGAAAAGCACAATCAATTAGAATTTAGAAAAATTACAAACTACCATGGCATTTCAATAATTTCTGGAAAAAAATAAAAAAACAGAAACCACAAAGACCCCTGAAAAACAAAAAAAAAAGAATCCCTGAAAAATAACAGGTGTTCTCATATGATCATTTAAGATTAAGTTCACTCTGCCGTAAGAAAACAGTCAACATGTAATAGATTTTAGGGGGGAAAAAAGCCAAAATTTTAAGTCTGTTCCCAAAGATTTACTATTCAGGAATCTTCTTATATCTGTACTTGTCATCTCCCTACAATGTCAGAAAAGTATAATTTATTGTACTTAGTCCTATTTCATTTTCTTCATTTCAAAAGCAAAGTTTATTTCTGTATACCAAAGGAGAAAAGGTAAAGTTGGTTTTTATTTACATAACCCTCAACTAATTTTTTTTCCTCTGGTTCTCATCCCAATAGAAAAGGAAATGGTTTCTTATTTGCTCATTGGTATAAAGAGATGTGGTGAGGTTAAAAAACCATGTTTTTTTTTCCTTAAAGCATTTCAAACTTAACACAGCTGAGCATACCTTATCTAAAACACTGGGGAATGGCAATGCTTCAGATTCTGCAATATTTGCATAGATTTTACAAGACAAGCATCCCTTATCCTAAAACCTGCAACCTTAAATGTTCAGATTTTTCAGATTAGGGATGCTCAACCTGTATTATGAAAACAGAGATTTTCAAAATAATAGAGGTGGGGATTAGGGTTAGTGGCATTGCCCAGCATGCACAAAGCTCACTCAATCTAGGGTGCGCAACTGACTGACCATGCAGTGCTAGGCGCAAGGGCACTAGGATTAAGGGTGTGAGTGCCACCACCCTAAGTAAGCCTGGATAAGATACAAGGGCCACAAAGATGCTGTTGAGGTCCCTTGTTGCTTTTGCTGTCTTTGCCTGCAAAGAACTGTTTCTCCTTTGCAATGTCCCACTGCCACGCCACTCTGCCTCAGAGCCAGCCAACTATGAACTGAAACCTCTATGAACTGTACGCCAAATACACCTTTCCTCTCTTCTGTCTCAGCAACCAGAAAAGTAGCTAAGACAGGAGCCGTCTCTCAAAATTTAAAAACAGGATGGGATCTAGCTCATTGAAAAGGCCCTGAGTTTAAGCTGCAGAACCACAAAAAATAAGTCAGAGGTTAGACACCAGTCCTGACTCTCACACACCCTTACTTGCTATCAGAAGTCAGAAAAAGTTTAAACTTAAACTTTAAAACTTTATTTTGCCCAAATTTCCAGAAAGTTTATTTCTGAGGTCTGTATGGTACAAAACTAAGCATTTAGACTAGATTTTAAATATTTCGTTTTTTAAAAAGGTCACATTCCAAAATTCATTTCATGGGTGACTTCATCAAACAAAAACATGATGGGATTAATTTACCACCACAATACAAATAGCTTTGACTTTTCAAACACATTAAGAAATTTTTAAAGAGAAAGAAAAGTTAACTGTCAGTTAAATTTGTGTCAGAAAGTACCAGTCAGGGCTGGGGATGTAGCTCAATGGCCTGTGCCTGCCTGGCAAGTGCAAGGTCCTGAGTTCCATGCCCAATACCAAAAAAGAAAAAAAGTAACAATCAGCCAGGACAGGAGACTACTACAAGCACCTGTGGTCCCATATACTGGGAAGCCTGCTGGCGAGAGGACCACATAAACCTAGAGGTTCAAGACCAGCCTGACAACACAGATCCAGGAAAGAAAAAAAACCTCATATACATAAAAATTATTTGAGGGTTTTGTTTTAGAGACAGGGTCTCACTATGTAGTCCAGACTAACCTTGAACTCACTATATACCCTAAGCTGGCTCTGGCCCAAGTGCCCATCCTCCTGCCTCCCAAGTGCTGGAATTACAAGTGTACACCACCACTTCTGGCAGAGGGGTGATTTTGAGGCAAGTTTTTGCTTATTTGAGCTACATCTAATCAAAATAGTTCCAACAAATTTCTAATGTGATCACAAGTAATAAATAAAAATATTTTATGTGTCTTTTTGAGTACATATCTACACAGACACTTTGTAAACCCCCAAAAAGTTATGGTATCTTCTTCCACATACAATATAGGATGAGATATATGCCTGAATACGAAAGTTCATGATTCTAAACACTTTAATTCTCCCTTCTTGCTTCCCACCCCAGTCACATGTAGAGTAAGAAAAAATTCACACACAACAGTGATTGACAGGCTGGAAAGGGAAGCAACTAAAAGTTTATTAAATATCTGAAAACAATTTATACTCTAAAGTTAAATCTATATCTCAACAACTTCTCCTAATCTTACATATGTATTTCTCTCATATGCTGAAACAAATACTCAATTTGAACATCTTCTCCAGTTATCATCACCTTACAAACTTGACCATATATATAGCTCAGATTAAAAGAGTTCAATAAAATTACAAATATATCTACAAACTCAAAAGTTACAATCTTGATGCTAATTTTAAAATGAAAAGCTTCTTTGTGTTTTTCTGAAAAAGTTCTGCCTAGCAGAAACATTAAAAAAATTAACCTTTTTTTTTTTTTTTTACCTTGCACTTGCGAGGCAGGCACAGCGACACTGAGCTAAATCCCTGGCCCCAAAAAATTAACCTTTTAACCAGTGTTCAATACAATAAAGACTCCAGAGTTCTGAATTTAGCAACTTTCTGTAAAAAGGGTCTTAGCCCACAGATTATGCTGTTAATTTTTCTTCAAACATCTAACTACATCAGTTTGTTTTCATTCTTTAAAAGATAACGCTTTATATACTGCTACTCATCAGTTGTTTAGTGTCTCTTGTATTTGTCTTGCTTTTTATTACTTCACAGAGAAGTGTCTAACTATACTGACTGTAACTCTAAAGTGCAAACACCCAGACAAGTGATATGTCTGAAGCCACATTTAGAACTGAAATCCACGTTCGATTAAAAGATTCGTATATAGGGTCTCCAGCCTTATTCATTTTTAAAAGTAAAAATCTTTAAGCAGCTCTTCATCTAAAAATCTATAGCCAACCAGTAAGAACTAAAAAAGAAGTCTGCTTACATACAGTAGTACCACCCTCAAACTAGAGCACAGAACAGAAACATGCTTGGCCCCGCAGTCATAAGTCAATGGGACAAAGAACAGAAGAGGAACGCTACACGAAACATTCAGATGTTTTCTAAACCATCAAAATAAGGCTACATATAGACATTCATCTTGCCAAGGCTTTCCCTAAATTCTCTCAATTCAATGCTTTTAAACATACTTTAAGGTATTTAAGTATACTTCCGGGCAAGTCAAAAAGCTTAACTAAAGTAAAGCACTTTACACAAGAACAAAATAATGTAACTGGCCCTAGGATACACTGAAAATAAAAAATTGTTTTTAAAAATTGTCTCCAGAACCTGAATCATCAAGAAACTATACTTTTAGCTAACCTAAGTCCAATTTTTCGGGGGAGGGGGCACTGCTTTGACAATCTGCTAACTACACTGTGTCTACTCCACCTGGGAGTTAGGGAAACTCGAGCTGGTCGCGCAGGAGCCCCCTCTTACACTAAGCGACACCACCCGGCGCTCAGAGAGGGAACACCCCGACCCGGCTCGCCTTCTTCCCACAAACCCTTCCCCTGGGCGACAGCGGGTTTCCTGCGAACACAAACTCACCCTCCTCCCGCGCGCTATCCCCGAAGCCCCTGACGCTCGGCGCCGGGCGGGGTGGAGGAGACGGCGCGGGCCGGACCGCGACTGCTCCCCGCGGAACCCGGTCGGGCCGGACGGCCGCACTCGGCGAAGAACAATACCCGAGCCCGGCCGCGATCCGCGCAACTTCCCACGCATCTGTGCCGCGGTGCCGTCGGCCGCGCTGACTCCGGAGCCGGGCAGGGACCGGGGAGGAACCGGACCGGGCCGGGCCAGACGCGCGGGGTGCGGAGGCCTGGGGCGAGGGCGCCCCGGACCCGCGCTCGGTCGACCCCTCCGCCGGCCCGCGCGTGGGGGCGGGGAAGGCCTCGCGGAGCGCGGCGCCTGCTCGGGCCGCCGGCGAGCGGACGCGGCCGGGCGCGGGGACAATAGCGCGCGGAGCCGGGCGCCCGGGAGGCGCCGGGGGACGGACGCGCCCGTCGTGCACTCCACCGTGGCCGCGGCGCCGGCGCCGACGCGCGGGGTCGTGCCTCACCTCCCAGCCCCGCCGCCCAGGAGAGGAGCAGAATTAACACTCTCGGCAACACCATCTTCCGCGGCCGCCGCCTCCTCAGGGTTAACAGCAGCACATCGACCCGGGGCGAGCGGCTGAAGGGCTCGGTCCGGAGCCTCCGCGGGAAGCCGGGACCTCCCCCGGCCGGAGAAACGCCAGGCGACTCCCTCCCGCTCCACTTCGGGGGCCGGCGACGCGCCCGGCTCCACCAAAACAGGGACCCTCCCTCCCCTCCGCCCGCTTCCTTCCTCCCTTCCCCGCTTTCCTTCCCTCGCTCCTTTCCTCTTCTCGGCCCCCACTCCGGGGCCCCAGTGCTCCGCCCCCTTCCTCGCCACGTGATGCGTCGGCGCCCAACCCGCTCGCCAAGGCGCGCCCCTGCCGCCAGCTCCTCCCCCTCTCCGAGGCGCCCCGGGGCGCGCGCATGCGCACGGGAGCCGCTTCCCGGGCTGCCAGGCCTGCAGCCGCTTCCTGTTCGCCGGCGGGGAGCTGGGATTGGACTGGGGGCGGGGCTTTTGCCGTGGCTCCGCCCCGAGCTCCCGCCCCCAGCGGGAGCCCTCACCGCGGTAAGAGCGTTTCGCGCCTTGTAGCCACCTCCGAGGACGGCTCCTTGGGCTGGAGCTAGAGCGGGAGCGGCTGCGTTCCGCTTCCTAACTTCTGGAGCAGCGGAGATTTTTGTTTCTTTTTCTACCGCTCGCGGTGCACCACAGCCTGCCAGTAAACAAGCTGTCCCCGAGGAACGGAGCGCCGAAGTGCAGACCCCGCGGGCAGCGAGGAGGAGGAAGGGAGACACTAGGCTGACGCGCGGGCTCGGGGCGCTGGCCACGCTCGCCGCAGGCCAGGCCTCAGCGTCGTCAGAGGCCGGCGGTCCAGGACCTGCAGCCCTTCGCCGTCCGTCAGTCTGCGCCCCACCCCTGCCGAGCTGGCGTCCGGCTCCTCGGGGCTTGCGTGGATGCTTCACACCGTATTGCAGGAGCCAGAACTTCTAGATAGCATTCAGATACTCGTCGATTTGGCATCTTCCTTGAGTTGGCTGAGTTCAAGAATATAGGTATTAATGCTGTTGGTACTGTTAATAAATTGAGATTCCTACAGTAAGTTTAAAAATACAGTCCGAAGTTCCAGAACTGTCATTATTGATAGTGTCTGTTCATTTTTAATGAGGTCCATGACATCAACAGGAAGACGGGAGTGTTTTTTGTTTTGTTTTGTTTTTTTGGAGACGAGGGTCTTTAATGTGGTCCAGGTTGGCCTCAAACACGCTGTGTAGCCCAGGCTGGCCTGAAACTGGAACCTCCTGCCACGGCCTCTGAATGTTGGGATTACAGGTGTGTGCTGCCGCTCCGGGCCTTCCCCCTTCCAAAGATCCCACTTAGGACACAGTTACCCGGATACATCACATTGCATATCACATCTGATTTTTATGATTCTCTTGTGGAGCTGCTGTCACAAATACTGTGTTTATTTATCTAGCTTTTAGACCGTTTTATAGCATATTTAATGTGGCACGGTATTTTTTATAATTAATTCCATTGTTAGGAGCAATGACACTTTCCTCTTCAAGTTTGGAAAAAATTCAAAACCATATTTTGTGTTACCAAAATGAAGACTCCAAATTACATTTAAGATGTCATTTCTTTTATTTGTAAAATGAGGTTCCAAAGTTAAAAGTTTGAACGCTATTTGGTTGAAGTCTTACTTCATTATTGATAGTTTGCAAATGTACCAGGACCTAATGAAATGTGGGAGTGTCAGCATCCACACAATCGGTGGGCTGCTTGACTCCCAGCTCTGCGTTAAGCTGGCCAAATTAACATTGCGGGGGGGGGGGGGGTCTTCTTATGCAGTTCATGCTAGCCTTGAACTCACTGTGTATCCAGGCTGGCCTTGAACTCGAAGTGGTCCTCCTCCCTCAGCTTCTGGAGTGGTGAGATTACAAGTGTGTGCCACCACACCTGGCTTACTCTTCAAACCTTAATATTCTTTTATAAAATAAGAATGATAAATATTTGTCTCCTGCAATTGTTTTGATGATTAAATTCCCATTAGTTAACATAACTGCTAAGTCTTAAGTAGAAATACATAAATATCATTGTCCTTCCATGAACAATCAAACATCCATTCAAAAGCAATAATTATTTTAATACTATTATGTATGCTTAATTGGGGGGGGTTGTTAATCTTTTCCAGTGCTAGGGATGGAATACAGAGCCTCCTCCACTTGTGCTATGCCACTGAGCTCCACCCTAAGCCTACCCTAAAATTATGGTAATGAGACATGTAGCTAGTAAGCAAATACTGTGGTCATATGTGGTATATTAGACAGACAATACTAAAGAAAAATGCATGTTGCACAGACTTAAGACCTATCTTGGTAAACATGGAGACAATTACAATTTTAAATTTCCAGATCCTACTAAACCACCTGCTGGATGTCTCACTGTCTTGCCTAACTCAGTATTTTAACTTCTTATCCCTGATAGTGACATCACATCATTCACAGGAACCAGGGATCAGGAATAGAATCACGTGACTCTTCTTCCCTGCTCTACCCATAACCAGTCAACAAAACATACTGATTTTTTTCCTAAAAATGTCATTCTTGTACTTTTTGTCCTTCCCTCCCCAACTGTTATCTTGTTCACACCGTTATTTCTAGTGCTCGTATTGCTGCGGGGGCCTAATGCATCTCCCTTATTCCACTCTGTTAACTTCTAGCTCTACTTTCAAACCTCATCATAATCCACTGCAATGTGATGCCAGTTTCTCATTCCTAAGAAATTATTCTCGCTAGAGGCGTTAAAGGTCTGTCATTCAAGGCATAGTCGCATACACCTGTCATCCCAGCTACTCAGAAGGCTGAGGCAGGAGGATCCAAGTTCAAAGCCAGTTTGAGCAACCTAATGAGACCCTGTCTCAAAAGTTTCTAGGGCCAAGTATTTAGCTCAGTGGAGTCGTGCCTGCCTGGGAAGCGAAAGGTCCTGAGTTCAATCCCTGTTACCAAATAAATAAATAAAAGTTTCTAAAAGCTGTGGATATAGCTCAGTGATAGAGCGATCACAAGGCCCTGGGTTCAGTCCCTAGTACTGAAAGAAAAAGAGAGGAAGCTGAGCATTATGGTATTTGCCTGTCATCCCAGCACTCAAAGGCTGAGGCAGGAGGGTCTCAGAGAGAGGATCTATTAGCTGTCTGTACCACTCACACCTTCACTGCCCATCTTACTGGACCTCCTAGTCAGTGGTGGCAAACCTATGGCACACATGCTACAGCCAGCTATTTATTATTATTGAAAGCTTTAAAAGGTTCACATCACTGTGACAGTTTTTGCTCCTTAAACTCTCCTTGTTCTCTTCAGGTTTTCCTGCTTATTTTTAACTGTGCCTTCATCTACATCTCTTCCCTGGACCATTTTCTTCTCTATGCCCCTTAAATATTATGATTCCTCAGAATCTTAACCTTGGCTTTTATTTCTCACCCTTCACTTGTATGATTATTTCTTACTACCTTAAGATGCCCATAAGGGTTGTAGACCTGGCTCTTCTTGTTTTGAAATAAGGCACAACCTTCTAAATATAAGATGGAATGTAAGGTAAGGGTCCTGTGCCTCAGTTTCCTACAGATGGTTGGTATGAGAAATAAATTAATCCAAAGCAGTGGGATCAATATATATAGCATGTAAGAGTTCAAGGCCAGCCTGTGCTACATAGTGAGTTTAATGCCAGCCTGAACTACATAGTGAGACCCTGTCTCAAAAAAAAAAAAAAGAAAAAAATATATATATATAGCATGTAATAAGCATACAATTTTAGGTGCTATTTTACATATCTAACACTTGTAAGTGTAACACATCTCCCAGAAGTTACACAACCACATCAAATTCAACATGTCCCAAACTGACCAGACCCCTACATCAACATACTGAAACCTTTTTCACCTGAATTCCCTAAATTACTGTTACAAAAGCCAATTATGGGCTGGAGATTTAGCTCAGTGGTTCCGGTGCCTGCCTCGAAACCCCAAGGTCCCAAGTTCGATCCCCCCATACTAAAAAAACAAAAGAAAAGCCAATTAGCCGAAAAGCAAGGTGACGGTAGAAGAAGATAAGTTAGCTGATCATAAGATGGCTAGGGCCGGGGATTTAGCTCAGTGGTTCTGCTGCCCACCTCAGAAGCCCAAGGTCCCGAGTTCGATCCTGGTACAAAAAAAAGATGGGTGGGCTGGGTATTTAGCTCAGTGGTTCCACCGCCTGCCTCACAAGCAGAAGGACCCGAGTTCGATCCCCGGTACCAAAAAAAAAAAAAAAATAGTATCATTTACT